CAGCCTCTGGCAAGTTGATTCGTCTTCCGCTTCTTCACCGGTTGAATATCCTGTCGAACCGTTCCAGCTCCTTTGGCTAAACTTGTGCGGGTGACGAGTTGCTTGCCCCAAAAAAGGTCTCGAATGACTGCATCTCCGGCCTTCACTCTATGCCGAGCTCGTTCCAAACGAAAGTGTCTTTGGAGCCTTCCATCCGAAGTTTGTCGACTTGTTTTTGGAATTCATCAATAATGGTCTCTAGCTTGGCTAGGGTTTCACCATCTTATTCTCGTAATTTTCGAAAGGATTCTCCGGGTCAATAACCATTTCCTCGTCTTGCCCCTGCAACCTTCGCCTCTAAGTATTCTTTAATCCCGGTTGGACTTTTGAGCTTTTTATCTCGTTGTATTATAACCCCTTTGTCCATTAATGTAGACTATTTACGTTTAACAAACACATTTTTGGTGGATCAACACCTCGTTTTAATGATGCGAATGATCAAAAAAAATGCAAAAGAACAGAAAATGAAAGGGGGAAAAAACGTTAGTGAGATAAAGATAATAAAAAAAATGAAAATGAAAATGAAAAGTCCTACCCCACATGATATCTACCCCACATGCTTATTATTCCTACCCAGACATGATCTCTATCCCGCATGTTGATTTTGAACAAGTCCTAACCGCATAAATTTCTAGTTCACATGCTTTGAACATAAAGTAAAGCAGGAAATAATTCCAGCATCCTAGGGTTTGAAATGAGGTTTTGGGGTGAGCTCTAATTCCCTGCACTCTCCCAGTTTAGGTTCTAAAAAGGTACTCGAGTTCTCCTTGCCGGTGCCCCCTTGGGCTTGCCAGACCCTTAGTCCTAAGCCTATTACAAGCTTGTGTGGACTAAGTTAAACTCGAGAGGACACATTCCCTTATGCCCGCACGGTGAATAAATTCACACGAAGACATAAGGTATATGAATCCCGAAGGCTACTTGCTAGGCATATGCGGTGAATAAATTCACACGAATGCGTCGCTTTCACCCCCACTTAAAACGGGTTCGGAGCTCGGGTTTAGAGCTTAGATATGACAATTTTGAAAAAAAATCTGAAATCATTAAAAAACATCAGTACAACTATTTATTTGAAACAAAATAATCAAAGATAAATAATTGGAATCGAATAAATAAATTAAAATTAAAAATTAACATTTTCGCATAAAAAGAAAACCAAAAATTAATTTTGGCCTGACTCACTTACCTGATCCCCAGCGGAGTCGCCAAGCTGTCGCGACCGTCTTTCGGTTGGGCCCCGAAATTGGGCTTCGACTTAGGTAAATGTGTTAGAGTCGCCACCGACCACTTTAAAACGAATATAGGTGGGTCGGATACCATCTTACCTGATCTGCGTCTTACCAGAAATATGTCGAGCTCGGGAGTCGGTTACGGTCAAGGAAGGATTAGCACCCTTGAACCGTCCTTTCGGTACCAATTAATTTGTCGGTTGTCTTAATTGCGAAAATTAAAAATTACAAATTAAAAATCCGATTCCAATTACTTATCTTTGATTGGTTGACATTCTTCTAAAAATGTCGAAAATATTTGATAAGAAGTATTAAATAAATATTAAAAAAAAATCAAAGGGAAAAAATAAAATAACATAAAAAAATAAAATAAATAAAAGTAATAAAATAAAAACATAATGATTGAAGGACCATATGGAGAATTTACCCAAATCCTTGGTCACATGGGGTTTTGTTTTATTTCACGTGTACAGGAGCCTTTGCATTTGCAATTCAATTTAAAACATTCCCTTGTTAGTGCTCTTTTCCTGTTCAATGGCATGCTTGGCAACCATTAGTCAAAAGCTTCTTTCTCAAGTCTCTATCATCATTACTAGCTCTGGATCAATCACCATTATACGCCACATGGACAAATAACATGTTTAATCTGCAAACATTTATTCTGCAGAGCAAGAGCAACATCTTCCTCATACATTGCCATCATGCTATATATATGAACACAGGCACACATCCATTTTTCCTTGAGGCAAAGGCGCAGGGAATACTTAACATCATAAAATAAATCAGGTCCGTTCTCTTGCTCAACTGTTTCTAGAGAATTCCAACAACCGAGGTCATAAAATCCAGATCAGCATCCATGCAAAACAAAAATAGAAATGTTACCAGTGTGGTCTGGATCCCACATCAAAGCTGACTTTATCGACGAGTGAGTAGTAGGGATCGAGGCATATTGGGGCTAAGAAAGGAGAATGAGATTTTGAGGCTTTTGTGTCTCGTTTAGACTTCTTGGGCAGTCGTTGAAGCTGGTCGAAGGGGAACTTTGTCGTCGAGTTATGACCGAGCAGTGTTGAGGGTGTTTGATGAGAGCGGTGCCATTGTTCTCTTCCGATACCCGGATCGAGCTAACTCCATCGAGAAATATGTTGATCATACGACGGTTTGATCGGCCCCCTTCCAGTTTTCTTCCTCTAAAACCGCGTCCTTATCTTTCAATCGGTGCTTTCATCTTCGCTCTCGCTTCCACCGCCCCTTCTTGCCTTGTTTCTGCAGCAATTTATATCCTATGAATCCCTTGTTTTTTGGTTCGGTTTTAGTGTTTTGCTGGGATTGAAACGCTACGTGATTTGTCTGTTTGGTTCTGATCTTCACGAAACCCATGATACGCCAGATGATTCGGAGTGTGGGTTGGTTGCAGCTTCCATGAGGACTCTCCAAGAGTCCTCAGTTTGGCCGGTGGTTCATACCTTGCATGCTGACTGTACGACGTTGAAGGGCAGAATGTGGAAAAACCAAACTCACCTAGGGCTACACACGTGTTGGGCTGGGTCGTTGGGCCAATAGAGTTGCAGGTTGGGCCTGACAAAAACCAAAACAAAAAACATTACTATAATAATATGTGTAATGTAATACGTATATATAATAATAATAATGAAATGTTTATAATATATTATATAATGTGGTCGGACGAAAATGAGTGTCGACAGGGGTGTCATTTTCTTTTTATTTGTTTTTCATATTTAATTTATACATAAAAAAGTTTTTTAAATTTTTTGAGGTGTCAATTTACCCCAACTCCGCCCATGAGTATGTCATCTCTTTAAAACTCAATGCCACTGAATAAATTTTAATCTAAACCAAGTGTTTAAATAATTTCACTTATTATTCTCTGAATATTTTTTTGACAAATTCTAAATTTATTTCTAATCATACCTAAAGTAGAGGGGATGACGTTAGGGAAAGAAAGAGAACCGTCTCAGGGGATCTAAAATCTATTACTTAAGAAAATATGAGAGAACAAAAATAAACAATTCGGACAAGTGGCCAAATATGTTTGCTCATTATCCTCTTAATATTACTAATCCTAATCTAAATTAAATGATATTATCTAACAATTAATATATTGATTTGTTGAATATTCAAATTTAATAAGTTTATAGAATTTTCAAAATTAAAGTGGATAATAAATATAAATTTATTATTCATAACAAAAAAATGATACAAAACAATAGTAAGATAATGATCATTATTGTAAGATAATGATCATTTGATGTGAAGTTTTACATCTTTTTTATGATTATTGAAGGAATGAAAAATGAATAATTAAGATTTAAAATAAAAAAAATGAAGAGATTTTTACGAAAAATGATTATTCTTAAACTAAAACATTTTAATATTAATTATTGAACTTACTTGATCCAGCAATAAAAGGTCATATAAAATTTAGCAAATTTACATTATATAAATGGATCTATCTCTATAAGTAAAATAATATTTTGGAGGATTAAATTTACAAGTATTTGATTTAATTTTTTACAATCACTTCAAAATTATTATAAATAATAATTCAAATATTTAAATTAAGAGAGCAATGTGCAAAAACGAATTCTAAGTTGAGGGTTTATACCAAAGAATCCAATTCAACATCATAATTTGTATTGACTAACAACAAAAAGATGGGGTTCTAATACCAAATAATCTATTGTGTTATCATTATTTACATTGACTAGCAACAATTAAAGAATATATATATTTATAAACACAAAGAGAAACTTTATTTATATTAATGTAAGATCAAAATTTTATAAATTTTTATATAATTAATATTTGAATAAACTGTTTTTAACAACTTAAGGGATATGTTTTTGCTTTTGGTATTAAGTCTTGGCAAGAACACGTTTTTTCCCCTCTTGTAATTAAATTCTAGGATTTAACGTGCAAGTAAAACTTAGATATTATTTTCAGTATATTAAATGATTAGAAATTTTGTACCTAAAAAGGAGAAAATGACTTTCCCACTTGGCGCAACGTTAAATGGATAAGGAAAAGGGATGCTTCATATTTCCACATCAGTTTCATTTTCATGTGAATCAAAATAAAATATCTAAAGAATATCTAGATATTGAACAAAATAATACAAATAATTAATAATAATATACAGTTATGAAAATTTATTAAATACATCATAATTATAATATTAAAACATTATATAAATGCATATATTACATTGTAAAAACAGATATTATAGAGAAATAATAAAACAGTTTATAAAATACGAGTAAACTACATATTTAATCATTCAAATATCATTTTAATTCGGTTTTGATCACAAAACATTTTTTTTAAATCATCATTAATATTATGTTTTGGTTTTATTTTGATCACATTTCATTAAAAGTTAATAAAAACTGTTAACAATATATTTTTATTTTTCCCAATGATAACGTGATATTATCTTATAGTAACACATCATAATTTTATTATTTTTTTAAAGAAAGTTTATCAAAATGAACTGAAACAAAATGTTAGTGATGATTTAAAAGAAAATAATTGAACGACTAAAATAGAATCAAAGTAAGAATTGATCGACTAAATATTAGTTTATCTTGAAATATAGAAATAATTAAATTTCCAAAAAAATATAATAAATTATATGATACTCACACTAGGACATTTTAAAAAAAGCTTATCCGATACCATTATCTCCTTGAAAACAGTCCAAATGCCAACATTTTTCTCATTTCTCTGAAACAAAACCATTATTGTCTCCCAACTTACTTTTACTGATGACTATACAGTGCATTGCTAGACTAAGATCACGCCGGGTGGTTCAAGACCAACCGGAAGGTTCAGGCACGGCGGAGGCGGGTGGTGGTTGTTGTTGGGCTGACTTGCCTCAAGAATTGCTAAGGGAGGTCTTGTTAAGGATTGAAGACTCCGAAACTCGTTGGCCTCAGAGGAGAAACGTCGTCGCCTGCGGCGGCGTTTGTAAGACTTGGAGATTCGCCATTAAAGAGATTGTTCAAGTTCCTCAAATTTCTGGAAAACTAACTTTTCCCATCTCTGTTAAACAGGTTCTTAACATTTTCCCACCATTTCTTTTATTATATTTTTTGTTTTAGAGGTAGCTTGAAGTTTGAATAAACTCTAGTTCAATTTCAGTTCACTGTTTCCAAAGTCTTTTAATTTTTTTCTTTATGAATCATTCGTATCATAGAAAAGAATTGAACATATTCCTATACAATAGTTCGAGTTATAATCTTAGTGGAGTATTATTGGATAGAGGGATATGATCCAAAAATCTTCATAATACATATAAATTATTTTTTTTGTGTCAATCAGACTAGCAGTAATCATCTATTTGGATTCAGTTATGAATGTTACTCAAACTCCGATGAAAGTGTGGTATGTGTCTGACATGAGTATAGTTAGATCTTCTAGGTTAATTATATATATATATATAGAGAGAGAGAGAGAGGATCTCTAAGTGTTGGACACGTGTACTTCATGAAAAATGAAGAGTTGAAGTAAGCTTTGAGCGAGTGTGTTATTACTTGGTATGAATCAATTACCAAAGCATTTTGAATTTAAATTTTCATGTTCATCATTCTATCTGATTTGCAGCCTGGTCCAAAGGATAGTCTCCTCCAATGCTTTATAAAACGGAACCGATCAGCGCATACTTATTACCTTTACCTCGGTTTAACTAATGGTGAGCTATTTTCCTTCTTTTTATGCCTCTTTATTTGAAGCTGTTGCCTGCTGGTATATTTGAAATTCATTATCGATGCTTTATGTCTTATAACTTGATTGTTGTACCATTTGATCACACTATTTTCTATTACCAACACTCTACATCTTCATATGTTTCCTTCTTGATCCATAATACTTTGCAAATTCTCTCCTTGTTTCTCTGCCGCAGCGCTAACCGATGACGGAAAGTTCCTTCTTGCTGCTCGCAAATGGAGGCGTCCAACATGCACTGATTATATCATCTCACTGCGCCCGGAGGATATTTCTAAGGGGAGCAGTACCTATGTTGGGAAATTAAGGTGAACTAATAAGGAACAAAATTATACAGAATCGAGTTGATTTTTTTTTCTTTACCTTATTTTGTAGTTTGAGTCTTATTTTTTTCATCGTCTCCGAAAGATCCAATTTTCTAGGGACGAAGTTCAGTGTTGTGGATGGGCAGCCTCTTCATGCTGTCTCGAAGTTGACTAAAAGTCAATCGACTAGGTTAGCAAATTCGAAACAAGTTTCACCTAGAGTCCCTTTCAGAAACTACCCCACGGTGCACATTTCATATGAATTGAACATGTTAGGTTCACGGTAAGAGTTTGATGTTATTTTCTGAAAGGATTTATAATTTCTCATTCTCTGTCTCGAATGCCGGTTCCTCAATTGTCTGATGCAGATGTGACTTATATGATTTACAGGGGTCCAAGGAGAATGCAGTGTATTATGGATACAATCCCAGCAACTTCGATAAAACAAGGAGGATTAGCACCCACCCCGACTGAATTTTCCCTCAGCGATGTCCACATATTTCCATCAATTCCGATCTCCAATTCAAAATCGGCAAGCATGGAGAACTTTCTATCCAAACCTTTCTCTGGCCAGAAGGATGGAGGTGCCCTGGCATTGAGAAACAAGTCTCCGAGATGGCACGAGCAGCTTCAGTGTTGGTGCTTGAATTTTCATGGACGAGTGACGGTCGCTTCAGTGAAGAACTTTCAACTCGTGGCTTCTCCCGATAATGGACCGGCCGGGCTAGAACATGAGAAGATTATCCTCCAGTTTGGAAAAGTTGGGAAAGATTTGTTCACTATGGACTACCGGTATCCGATTTCTGCGTTCCAAGCGTTTGCCATCTGTCTCAGCAGTTTCGACACCAAGATTGCTTGCGAATAAATGATACATGATCAAGAATCGTAAACAGGTTTGCATGTAATTATCAAAAAGAATAAAAGTTTCCTTCATTGCCTGCATAACTTATCATCTTCTATCTCTACTGTTTTTAGTACATCTCAATGTGTATAATTGGTTGAATCAGTAGAACCGACAATGTATCTATTCATGTGTATTTTCCGGTGTCATTGTCCAAGAAACAAATAATATAACTGAAAATTTGATTGCCACGAAATCCAACCATCAATAGATTACTGCTTTAAACCGAGAGTTTGATTTTGGAGATAAGAATGCCATCACTATCAGCATATAGCCATTCCTCATCATGGATCAAAGTTCCCGCTATCCTAACCGGGACGTGCTTCTCACCGACAGCTTTTTTATTTGATTTCAAGGGATTCGAACCTAGTGCTCGAACCCCAATATCACATCCATTAATCTCATTGACATCTCTAATACAGCCGTTCACAACAATACCAGCCCATCCCATGTCACGAGCTGTTTGAGCCAAATTGCCTCCGACCAGAGCACATCTTGTGCTTCCCCCACCATCTATAACCAGAACTCTTCCATTGCCTTTGGATTCAAGAAGCTGTCGGACCAACACGTTGTCCTCAAACACCTTAACGGTTACGATGGACCCTGAAAATGCAAGACATTGACCATACATCTTGAAGAGTGGATCAAGAGCACGAAGATCACCGTTTGCCAGAAGTTCTGCATTTGAATCGCAAACATCTGCAGTGGCAATAGCAGCCCTATGTCTTCCTGCAAATAAAGCTAACCAGCTGTAATAAAGATTTCTGGCCGGAAAAGACAACATAAACAAGTCAATATAAAAACCTATGTTGATCTTACTCTTCAGTTTTCCTAAAGTACTGTATCTGCCTCGTATCTGGACAAGGGTACAATGAGTCTCTAAAGACCCTCCAAATGCATAGAATATTTTTAGAAAATATTTAATATTTTCGTATCCAACACTCGTACCAAAATTCAATATATGAACTTTCGGTAATCAGAATCAGAATAAACAATGGTCTTATAGTTTAGACACAAGCCCCAAATAATGCTTATTTAACCATCAAACCTGCTTGTAAATGTGTTTGCTCATCTCGGGGTTTAAGCTTCTTAAGCAAGATACCCTAAGGAGTGACGTACAACAATCCACAATAACATTTGTACTCCAAAATGAGGAATTCATTAAAAATGAGGAAATAAGGTATTGTCCAAAAAAGCCTTAAACTTGTCTACGTGACCATTGAAACCAATTCAAAAAAATGTTTGAGCATCTGACCTCAGATTTTCTGCATAATGTACAAAAGCAGGATGAATTTATCGAAAATTCATCATATTTTCAACAACAAAGATACTGTTTAGTAATTCTCATTGTATGGATTAACAAATTGCTAAATATAAGGACTATATTCTTGTCAGAAGAAAATCCTAGAACTTGTCTATTTGACCATTGAAATCAGTTAGAAAACATACTTGAGCATCAAACCTCAGACTTTCTGCTTATTCTACGAGCAAGACACCCTTAAGAAGTGTATAAACTAATTGGTCCTCTATACACAAATACCAAAGCAGGATGAATTCATTGAAAATCATCAAATTTTGGGCAGCAAAGATATGGTTTAGTAAATCTCATTGCAAGAAATCAATAAATTGCTGATACAAGGACTATGATCTTTTCTGGAGAAAACTTCAAACTTCTCTATGTGACCATTGAAACCAGTTAGAAAATTTGTTCAAGTATCTGACCTGGAATTTTCTGCATATAGTAAGTACAAAAGGAGGATGAATTCATCGAAAATCATATAAAAGTTTGGGCAGAAAATATCAGCTTCAATAAATCTGCATATGGCAAGTACAAAAGCATGATGAATTCATAAAAAAGTAATCAAATTTTGGGCAGAAGAGATAAGGTTTAGTAAATATCATTATCCAAAATCAACAAATTGTGGATATAAGGACTTAAGTTCTTGTCTGAAGAAAACCTCAAACTTGTCTATTTGACCATTGAAACCAGTTTGAAAACGTGTTCATGCATCGGAAATCCGCCTCCTCGCTTCCTCCCTCAGCAAGATACCCTTAAGGATTGTGCATAGACATCAATCCACTACATTGCAAGTATAAAAGCTCAGCGAATTCATTGAAAATAATCAAATTTTGGCAGCAAAGAAATGGTTTAGTAAATCTCAATGTATGAAATAATTTTTTTTTGTAGATATAAGGACTAAGGACTTGTCCAAAGAATACCTCAAACTTGTCTATTTGACCATTAAAACCAGTTCGGAAACATGTTTGAGCATCACACCTCTGATTTTCAGCTTGTTCTCAGGCAAGATGCCTTTAAGGAATCTTAATATGCATCAATCCATATAAGTCAATTATAAGAGCACATCCAAAGCCATCAAATTTAGGGCAGCAAAGATATGGTTTAGTAAATCTCATTGTCTGAAATCAACAAATTGCTGTTATAAGATCTAAGGTTTTGTCCGAAGCAAGCATCAAACATACCTTACTCGGACTAAAGTTGTCGACTTGTTGGGTACGGATATGCATCTAACATGGAACTATTTATTTAATTTTATAACTTCTCGTGGATAGAGGTAACAAAGAATCGGAGCAAGTGAGAAACTTAGAAATAAACTATAAGATCAAGCAAATCAAGTACCAGTAAGGATGCCATTGGAGGTGGTTCCAGCTTTCTTAGAAAAACATATCTTTGACATAATCGTATTAATCGAATGCCGAGGCATTGGAAAATAACGATCACCAAACATCCCTATGAAATTTAACAATACAAAAAATTCAATAGCAAATTCAAAACCATTTTTTTCATTTCTCTTTCCTTTTAGCTGATAATTTGCATTAATTTTTTTGTAAAAGAAACCTCATTCCTCTAGTTCTCTTTATCAATAACCAAACAAGGATTTGACTAAAAAAAGTTTTAAAATAGTTGAAAATGATCGTACCTGAGGAAGCAGTGGTATTCGGTTGGGATTGAAGAGAAGGGAGAGGAAATGAGTTGAAGTGAGTCAAAGAGGGGGGGAATCGGTGATTTGAATGGAGGAGAATCGTTCTGGTTCCTAAAACCATAGCGAGTTTGCCAGAGTTGGAAAGGACTTGCATTTTTAAGTAATGTTTGACTTTATGAGCGGGGACTGAAAACTGAGTTAAAGTAGCGGAGCGAGTTAACACGTCGGATTCTAGAGTTCAGAAGCTCGCCGTTGTGGTTTTGTCTCTCTTGTTAGGAATTTATGAGTTTTAGGGGATGAAGAAAAGATGGAGATGTGGTCCATGGTTCTTCCGGTGGAAGCTATTTGTTTTTAGGGAAAAATATAGTAACGGTCTCTGAACTTTTCTAAAGCTTACATTTAGTATCTTAACTTTTAAAAATTGCAATACAGTCTCCTAATATTTAGTCCGTTTGTAATATGGTCCCCAAACATTTAGGTCATTTGCAATATGGTCCCGAACGTAATCGACCATTTGACGTCGTTACACTGTCGCTAGTATGCTTGCAATATGGTCACTGAACTTTTCAGGCTCTTGCATTTAGGTCCACCAACTTTTAAAACTTGAAACACAGTCCTCAATTTCATTCTAAACCCCAAATTCCTTTTCGATATCGAATTTCCTTTTTCGCTTCTCTCTTCTCATTTCCAGCGTAACTTTTCAATCGGGGATGATGAAAAATTCTAACTTAATATGGAGATTGAAGATTGAGAGAAGACCCGACCAAAGGACTATTTGGACCATCAACGATTCAAGGTGTAATTTTAGATACATGTTATCTTAGGTGAAGCATAGATGTTCGATGAAATGCTTGTGAGAAAAAAATGGGGTTAGAAATGCAGAGTTGACAAATACTACTAAGATGAACAAAATATCATTGTTAAAAGTCACCAACAAAGCTGAAATTATTTTGTATAAATGACATATAATAATTTATTTGTTTAATCCTTGTTGTTAAAGATTTTCCAACAGATGATCCAATATAATGAAATCCCAAACAGCGCATTCACCTCTCAGTCTCTTTCGCAACTCGAAAGGATCATGATAGGGTCAAGTAGCTGCTCCAAATATACTACCCTGTCATGATGTCTTTCGAGTTGCGTGCATGTAGAATTTTCTTCTAAAGCTATAATTCAATATAATTCCACTGTAAAATTTTGAAAACATGTAAAAAATCCAATTCGTTCACGATATATCAGACTCATAATCAACATTAACTTATTAAAATAATACGAGCTCACAGGACGGCGAAAACCACAAGTCGGATCAATATAATTCCCAATAAACTAGTACCAACAGTCTCTCGAATTGAGCATGGCAATTTCACTATGTCGATTCTCACAACCAATTCCCAAATTTAAAGAAAAACCAAACAAGAAAATAAAAAAAATTAGCATAAGACCCTATTTCACTTCTATTCTGATGGACTCAATATCTTTCATAAGGAGTACTAACAGTTTTGATTAAGAAGAAAGAAAGGAAATTAGATGGTTTTGGTTCAAAACTAACATTGAATATCTAGATCATTGACATGCAGTTCCAGAAACATAAAAATTTCAACAAAAAACACACAATGCGAGCTGAAAATGAGAAAGTGTGAAAGAGGAAAAGCTTACTTCCAGATAGCCCAAAAGAGAAAATAAATATCTTCTTGCAAGTGAGGGGAGAAGCTAAGAAATAAACTCAATCGGTGTTGCGTTCCAGCAATTCTTTTTCCATTTTTTCTTTGTAAATTAAAGCTGAAAGACATAGCACTGCTTGGGTTTACAATTTTACACAGCGAAAAATTGAAGAATAAAAACCAAACGAGAGTGCATGTGAGGAAAGAGACTGAGAGGTGAATGCGCTGTTTGAGATTTCATTATATTTGATAATCTGTTGGAAAATCTTTAACCACAAGGATTAAACGAAGAAATTATTATATGTCTTTTATACAAAATAATTCCAGCTTTGTTGGTGACTTTCAATAATGATACTTAGTTCATCATAGTAGTATTTATCAACTCTGCATTTCTAACCCCATTTTTTTCTCACAAGCATTCCATGCTTCACCTGAGATGATTTGTATCTAACATTACACCTTGAATCGTTGATGGTCCGGATAGTCCCTTGGTCGGGTCTTCTCTTAATGGACCCTTATTCAAGTCAACACCTCCATATAATTCAAAGTTATATTAGAATTTTCCATGCATCCCCGACTGAAAAGTTACGCTGGAAATGAGAAGAGAGAAGCGAAAAAGGAAATTCGATATCAAAAAGGAATTAAGGGTTTAGAATGAAATTGGGGATTGTGTTGCAAGTTTTAAAAGTTGGGAGACCTAAATGCAAGTGCTTGAAAAGTTGTGACCATATTGCAAACGTACTAACGACAATGTAACGACGTCAAACGGTCGGTAACGTTGGAGACCATATTGCAAATGGACTAAATGTTGGGGGATCATATTGTAAACGAACTAAATGTTGGGGGATTGTATTACAAGTTTAAAAAGTTGGGAGACCTAAACGAAAGCTTTAGAAAAGTTAAGTGACCATTACTATACTTTACTCTTGTTTTTATATAAAAATTAAAGGAAAATACTGTATATTAAATTTAGTCACACATGAATAAAAACATTTTAAATAAAGAAATATATTTATAAATATCAATTTAAAAAAATGAATATAGATAGAATAACAAAAGTTTGTATAAAATATTAAGGTAAAGCACGCAAACCGTACTTGATTGCAGGATGATGTTTTGTTAAATTCTCGGTGTAAAACTATAAAATAGTATATTGACTATAATACGTTGCTTTGTTGAGTTCAATGATTGTTAAAAATTATAAAATGATTACTTAACTATTTATACGTTCAAAATTCATCATTTTCTATTAAAAAAATAATAGAAATCTAAGTTGAACGTAACCTATTGCATGTGATATGATAAAATTGATCTCAAAATCTACAACGACTGCAATATTTCAATCATCATGTTAACGTCCAGCTTAGACAACCACTAATTTTTTTAAATAAAAAGACGAGTTTGTAACATATAAATAGGAACAAAGCACCACCATATAATTAGAGAACTATTTCATAACTTTTAATAGTTAATAAACTTAATAAAACAGTACCCAATAATCAATAGCCATTTATGTGCTTTACCTAAAAAATTATAAAACATGTTTAGTTCTCATGTTAATAATCAACTCACATTAGTATAGATGATTCAAACTCTCTTATATTTTCAGAATTTGATCTTAAATTATTTTACTATTTGGATTAATAAGGCCCACAATTACAGATAAAAAGATTTTAATTAGTAATATAAAGATTTAACAAGTTATAGAGTGGTGCTTGAGTTAAGGTGTTATTCCTCGTAAAATGTATTCTCGAACAAAACAATATGGAAACCATGTTGCTACTTGACCTCTTGTTTCTAGACAGTGATAAGGTATGAGTCTGGGTTGCACCCAAATATGAGTGATGATCACAGTGAGTCTGTTGGACCTTCTGGTAAACCTGTTCACAGTGTTGTTTCACAAGCGTGCCTCATAATTCTTCTACCACGAGTCTTAATAATAGTCGGCATGAGTTTGTTCAATTTCCCTTCACTCATCTATTATCTCCGTCCACATCCTTCAATCATCCATTTAGCTTCATACCCGTTCATCATCATCTCCCTCATCCATCGATCACCCTTCACTACCATCTCCATCTCCACTTGTCATCAATCATCAGCATCAGCATCCACCAATCATGCTCGATCTGTTCATTTTAATGGTAACACTCATTCCATGGTTACAAGAGGAAAAGCTGAGATTGTTAAACCTAAGGTGTGTGTTGTGGAAGAGGTCAATGAGCCCTCCATTTTCTTTGAAGCTCTTACTCAACCAGAGTGGAGAGCAGCTGTTCAAAATGAATACTCTGCCTTGCTGAAAAATGTAACTTGGAATTTACAATCGTTACCTCCTACGCTCATCAACATCTAAGTTGTGTTTTCTAAATTAATAACAGATGATAGAAAGTTGTTTGATGATGTTTATTTGTATACAAGTCTTGCGGGAGGAATTCAATATAAGGATGAACAAAAATTGACTCGAAAAATCGAATTTATTTTTTTAATTTCGAGTTATTCGAGTCAACTCGACTTATAAATTCCGTTTCAAGTTGAGTTGAAATTTTTGGAATTTCAAGTTGCTCGAAAAACTAAAAATTTGACTAAGTATTTTGACAGTTTTACGATTTAGTCCATGATTTCATTATTCCTTCAATTTCTCCTTCATTTTAAGTCCATTTTTTATCAAATTTGAACCACATGCTCCTAAACAATCGTATAATACATATGTACTTTCAATTTTTCTTTTTCATGACAAATTTTCTCTTTTTCAATTTAGTCCCTTATTTTTTTTCTTTATAATTTTCATATTTCTTCAATTCATCAGTTATTTTAATTCTTTTTTACCACATGCTCATATACCACAATAGAATACTATGTAACTTCAATTCTTACCTTTTTTTATACTAAAAATGTACTTTCTCTTTTGATTTGTCTCTTAACTTTGCATTTTACTCAATTTGGTCTTTTAACTACAATTGTTTGCAAATTCTTTTTTTTTCCCCATCAATTCCTTAACTCATTTATACTCTTATCAATATTTCACCCTCAAAATATTTTCTTAAACTATAATATTATGAATATATTTTGTAATTTTAGATTGTATTTGATATACTAAATAACATTATAATGTGAAAAGAATATATATATATATGGTTAAAAAACCAACAAAATTGAAGCAAATCCTTGCCATAATGCTATAAATAAAGATAATAAAATTTGTATAAAAACTCGAATAAATTAACTCGAATTTTTTAAACTCGGCTCGATAAGAAAAAAATTCAAGTTAAATCCGAGTTGTCAAATATGACTCGTAAACTCAAATAACTCAAAACATTTTGAGTCAATTCAACTCGACTCGATCAAATACTTACCTAAGGAAGTGACATATTATTCACATAAACTTCTAAAAACTATTATTTTTAATTTTTGTTTTTGGGTTGGTCGGACATGAGACAGAGGGGAAACATGTGAGAGCCAAATAATGAAATATAAAGGAAGGAAAAAAGAAGAATCTTACATTGAAAAGAAAAAAAAATTCCAACCTAGTGTGAATTGGTTTAATTCTACAATATGACATCCATTTTATTTGAATAAAATTCTTATCTTTTTTC